TATTCTAAACGTGTAGATAAAACCATGAATCTACCTGTAAATAAAATCTACATGTGAACGATGTAAAGAAGTCTACATGCACATGAAACCTCTCTAATATGGCAGTATGGAGAGAAAATAACAACTGACAAATCACATAATAACGAAAAACCAATAGAATGAATGGTTTTCACACTTGTCTCACACTTGTCTCACACAACTCATTGTTCTGTTGTTAGTGACGTACACTAACTAATATGAAACTTACCCAGTCACAGCATGGCTCAGAACCAACTTTAGCTGCAATGCCTTGGAATATTGGTTTGATAGCTGGCCTAAACAAGAAGCCGAGAAATACGAGAATATCAATAAATATGCATATATATATTATTACTACATTGTTGCGAGGGAAGCACAAAGCTTTGGTGACCTCGAAAATCAATAATACCCTGACCTACGACAAAAAAAATGATTTTCCCAGTCCACGAATGTCTGTATTCCCTGAACAAACAGCCAATACATGTCGTTACCCTACGTGTAAAATCTGGAGAAAATAAAACTATTACTAAGGCTGACTGTGAGCGGTCTGATAAGCCAAAACCAAAGGAAAATCCACATACTATGCGTTCGTGCATGCATGTGTGTGTACGAGTGCGCTCGTGCGTGCTTGCGTGCGTGCGCTTGTGCATGTGTGCGCATGTATGTACTCCGCTATACTTGCCATGCTGCTGGAGCGCCCCCTGGCATCAGTGACGGGCCGTATCGAGCGCCGTCCTCACCCCCGCTGACGCCGCTGCCGACAAAGTGCAGTCCCTTGACGGCGAGCTCCTTACAGCGGCGCTGCGTGTCAACATACTCCGAGTTCCCTCCGTCAATGATGATGTCACCCTTCTCCAGCAGCGGCACCTGGTGGCGGGAAAACCACGTATGCTTAACGTTTACAAAACACCAGCACAGTGTTGGGGCTTTTGATAGTGTTTGTGAGTTTCTCTCTGGGCTTTCAGGCTTTTGATAGTGTTTGTGAGTTTCTCTCTGGGCTTTCAGGCTTTTGTTAGTGTTTGTAAGTTTCTCTCTGATGGTTTGTTAGACTAGTGTTTGTGAGTTTCTCTCTAGGCTTTTGTTAGTGTTTGTAAGTTTCTCTCTGAGGTTTTGTTCGCGTTTGTGAGCTTCTCTCTGGCCTTTTGTTAATGTTTGTGAGTTTCTCTTTGCATTGCTGACGTGAGAACGTTTCTGAGCTGTCATCTGGTGTTCTGCAATGATTTCTGGTTTGTTGTTTTTCAGCTGTGGCATGTTGCTACCTTACCAAGACCATGTTGTGCTCTACAAGAATTAGACTTGTGACTAAAGACTCAATAATGATGACAGACCTATAGACATTAGCCCCCCTACACTTGCCTAGTAATCTCGAAAAACTGGATCTGTTGCATGAGCGCACATATATATACTACATGACCTGTCCATCTAGCTGAGTATCCAGAGAAATTATGTACTTTGATGGTGGGAAAGCCAAAGCACAACCAAACTATTGCTGGTACTGTACAGCAGTTGTAGTTTGTGGCAGATGGAAAAATCACAACAAACACATTACTATTCATGGTTGCCTCTATTTAAGGAATCTATTTCAACTCTATGGACTCCTGGGGAATACCATCAAAATATCATTAAAATTTTCATCAGTAAAGGTAGAGTGGCATTAGTCCTACAGACATAATTGCACACAGATTGCCGAAGTGTTCAGCCAACGCTTGGTTGTGCTGTTTTTGGCTAAAATCAGCAGTAACTTTATGTAAATCTCGCCACCATACATGGCCAATCAACTCATACGTGACTCAAAATAGTGGGTACTGCACTATACATTCGATTCTACACTGTTTCCTGGGTTAGTGATCTACCATTAATACCACACTACACCATGGCTAGTAGCTACCACTACTACTACTACACTGTGCGGGACTCACCAGTTTTTCTATGAATGCATCTACAGCAGCCCCTGCCTTCACCATGAGCATAACACGGCGAGGTTTCTTCAGCTTGCCAACCATCTCCTGCAGCGAGTGTGCACCAATGACCTTTGTTCCTTTTGCCTCGTTAGCAAGAAAGTGATCGACCTTCTCCACCGTCCTGTTGAAGGCACACACCTGTCGACAAGGATACCATTTATATGCTGAGTGTGATGGAGATGGAGATGGGCAAAGGTTGAGGAAGAAGGCAGCATGATCCGCCTCATGAGATGTCTTAACCGAATTTTCGGTTAAACTTGTCACACAATAAAATTGTGTTGTCACTATTGTTTAACCATGTAGATGGATTACCACAATGAGTGATTTTCCACGGTGGTCATTATGCCACTACCATGCCCTCTACGGGAAAGACTGATAGGAGGACAATACGTACAACAAAGCCATGATCATTCATGTTGAGAATGAGGTTCTGCCCCATCACAGCCAGCCCTATCAGTCCTATGTCAGCAGCCCTGAAGCAGATGAGTACACTATTACAGTCACATGCCAAAACAGGTGAACAATAGACACACAGTGTGGGAGTCCTTATTTCCTTTAACATTCCCTGGTAGACATTCATGGGGGAAATTTTTTTTGCTTGTTACATATACATGCATACATGGTACTGGCACAGATGTCGGAAACTGGATGCATTTCAACTTGCCGCCATTAGTTGGAGGCTATTTCCCTCAGCACTTCCTGGATGACATTCCAGGAAATGTATATATTCTGGCTTGCCACATAAATTCTCACATTATACAGACACACCATTAGTTGGATCAACAAGTCAGGTGGAATTTTAATGATTGCGATTAGCGTACCAATAATTGCAAAAAAACTGAAATACAGGTTTTTGATTTTGAATAAATAGAGGTTGTTATATCATCTGAGTCGCACTAGATAAAACAGGTCATTAAACGGCATACACAACACAAACTAGAATAAAACGCATATATATATAATATATATATATATCACAATTTAGGAAAACATCAGCGAGTTTATTCCCCTATGGTGCATAAGTGTTTCATTAATAGTTAACAAGGTACAGTGCACCTGTGACACTACAAACCATTACGCATGTACAATCATTGCATAATTTAGAGAGACATGACATGCATGCTCAAATGATTTTGTAATAGTTATAGCACGATAGCTGTTTATTGTAGATAGCAGTCAACAGGACAGAGACTACAAAGACAGGGGTAGGGCTACAGTAAATACATGTTTTTTTTTAGTGTAAAATATCACATGTAAAGATGTATCTCACTGTGTATTAGGATGTAAACCCAACTATACGGAGATAAAATCGATTTCGAAGTCTAAACACTTCGAAACATCATTTCTCGATTTGTGGCAAACTCTAAGAACCAACCAATCTCAGAAGTCTTAGTGAATAAACCCAGAAATTGAACGAGAAATGTGGTTGGTAGGGCATGGCATTCCGTGGGGGTGCGCCGCTAGACAGTAACCAGTACTAAAATCTGCTGAGTCACTCTACGTGAATGGACATTAACAGGATTTAGACCAGGTGTGGTTATTGTGAGCAGGTTGCAAATAACACAGTCAAGCTTTTCTACGCACATAAGTGTTCAGCATTCTATTGATGGGAGAAACTGCACGGTACCACAAGCTCACAGGCCGCATTTAGTTTTTAACCGTGAAGCTAGCTGTAGATCTATGCCTATATATGGACAGGTGTAGAATGAACCAGCTGACAACCTAAATATGGAGGAGGAGTTCATTGTTTTTCCTGCATGGGTTTTTATCTAGGAACTACCATTGAAATTAAACTTACGCAAAACCGATTTTATATCGGATTTCTGTTATCGGAACTAACAGGTATTACACATACCATCCGTTACGCCTTCTGTTAAAAGTAGCGTTGGTGACAAATTGACTTTAAACTTTTAATCTATATATGCTTGTTTTACTCGGCTCAGATTGTAACAACAATGGACATCATGTGATATATTATACAGTCCATCATAACAATTGTAAATGAAAACGCATTTGTTTTAATTCACTATACCGATCATCTGTCACCTTTGTCGTGTCCTCATATGATATGCGATCAATAGTTTCGATTGGCCATTTTAATCTACCGACACATATTATAGCAGGGTTAGAAACTAACTTTTGAACAAGGGAGTCCAATGGACTCCCTGCCCTCAAAAAGAGGGAGCCCGTAGCAAAATGAGGGAGTCCGCAGTCTGAAGTTCAAAACTAAAGCACAACAACAACATACATGCATCATCATGCATGCCATGCGTGTATTTGAAGATTCATGAGATGCACGTCTGGCAAATTTTCTTTAAACATTTGCTGAAAAAAATACGGTAATTCTGTGAGGCCGTGCTCTGGAACGAACTTGTTAGTATATAGCAGAATTTTCAGGGAGTCCCAGACTCCTGCAGATGTCAAATCAGGGAGTCCGACAGTAAATCAGGGAGCATCCGACTCCGAACTCCCGTTAATTTCGCACCCTGTTATAGGTGCATTCATAATCAGTACTTAGCAG